CAGCTCAATGCCTGCAGGCAGCACCCAATTCTTTTTCACTGTTCAATTTGGTCTTTGCTACGCTGTGGATGGCACAGATAGATCAGACACCCAGATTCTCTCTTTACAAAGTACCATTGCCTGGCTGCTGGAGTGTTTTACTCACTATCCTGCTGGAACTACAGCACAGCTGTAAGTAAATAGCAGCTGAAGCATTAGCCCTAGTAAACCAAAGAAACGGCTTTTGTCTAGAAATAAGCTGGATATAAAGAATCAAAGCACCTGAGCAGACAAAATGTACTTTCCTTCAATCTGAGCAGCACTGAAACCATGCAACAAAAAAACGCAAGGAACTGTATTTCTGTGACAAAGACTTTACGTGCAAGGTGTGGGCACAACTTTGTGAAACGTTCTGCTATTACTGATAATTGCAAAGTACTTGGTGAAAAAAAGCACTACCATTTGCTTTCACATGACCTCCTCCTTGGGAATCTTCCCTGACATGGATACTCTGCTTTACTTTCTCAGAGCAAAGTCATTCTCCCCAGCATGTGGCTTCATTCCCTCTGCAATCCACACTGGACATTCCCCCTTCATCCATGGTCGAGTTTATTTTTCTTCCTTCAAAATTCAAAGTTTGTGGCTGAGCTACTATCAACTTGATATGTACTTTGTAAATTTTATGTTGGTATTTGCACTCACAAAAAGCCATACGGAATTAGAGAAAACACCGCTGATAACTGTTAAAGCAAAGTTTAAAAATGACATTTTCACAACTGCTCCATTTCAAGATGTCTGCTTGGGAATACCAACTTGATAAACAGCCTGAGTCATTGCTAGTAGTCAACAAATTCAAATGTTTCCTGCAGCCGCTCACCAGTACTCATCTCCAGTCTCACCCAGTCTTCAGGAAGGCCAGAATATCTGCTAAGTGGTGCCAATGAAACCTTCCAGGTGACCACTCACTGTATGAGTGTTCTCTGACACAGCTCTTGTTATTCTACTGTAAGAAGAGGAGAGATGCCAACACTATTAAAAGATAATCTTTTTTATCTGCCATTCAGATGTTCTGTCACCCTGATAAAAATCTCAGTAACTTACTCTGCTTTCACATCCCACTCCTGCAACAATACTTTTCTCCCTGGGGACAGATGCTTAGATCACACCAGTATTCAGACAATTAGCAGCATCTTGTTATGAAGCAATAAGTGATCTGTGCAGCCCACGAGAATAAGTTCAGGAAAGTCACTATCCAGCAAGCACAAAATTTGGGAACACCACAGATGTGAATAAAAACCAGGATGGCCCATGGCGGTGACACATGAAAGGAAACTGCTGAAGAAACAACTTTATTACCTTCAAGTAAGCAAAGCCTGAAAGCAAGGCAGATATTGAGGAAAAGAACATTAATTTTTTTAAATACAGCGAATTCATTCTTGTTAATGTCAGATAATATAGAAAAATTATCTTTAGGAAGGACAAGACCATTCCCAGAGAAAAACATGGTTATGCTCAAAATGGGAAACAATCACAGCTGAGGTACGCTTTTACTTTCCTTTACCAGGCTTAAAAGTGCAGTTTGTGCTCTACAAACAAGGCAGTTTTCCTTCTCCTTTTGTTTCTTGCACAGAGCTACAGATTTACGAGCATCCTCCACAATAAGACCCTGCAAGAGACATCCTAAGATAAATCCTGCTTGTGCAAACACTTCTCAAAACAGGCAGAATTTCTGAGTCACACAGGAAAGCACGATGCACTTCTGAAGTTCACTTTTCAGTTGAAGCTCACTGCATTCAACCTACATCTCCAGGGAAGCCAGAGAGCAAATAACATGATAAACATGAAGGAGGGGTTTATCCCAGGAACTGAGTAACAGCTCCATGACTCACATTGGAATTAAGCTGTGATGCCACACAGAAGCAAAGTTCAGAGAGGGAGGTATTTCAGACTCGGTTAGGATGAATAGAAGCCTCCTTCCCCTGCAGAACTGAGCACCCAACCAGGGCCAGCAGTTGCTGTTAATCCTCATTAACTCCTTGTCTGCCTCTGGGGGGTGCTGGCCGCTGCAGTTCCCCAAGCCCACCCCACAACCACCATTCCAAGGTACAAACTTTCTCAGCACATCATCTGTTAGTTATTTTTGCCAAGACTCTCGCATCACTGTCCTTAAGGACAGTAATGCTGCTGTTTGCAACAGCACTCTCAGCCCCGTGTAATACTGTAACTACAAGCCATCTGTTGCCAGCCTAGCACTTTCTCCTGTTTAAAATACATTTGTCAGCCAAAGTTCTGCAAAGCTGCCCATGCAGCAGGTGTCTGCCCCCACAGCCATGGAAGCACCCAACGAATCAGAGCAAGAACAGAAAGCCCAACCACGGCTCCCTGATTTCTCCTGGGTCAATCAGCTGGCTCCAATCCCAGCAGTGAGCAGGGGGCTGCAGACCCCATGGAGCGGCTGGGAGGCGCTGCCCGCTCCCTTCTCTCACAGCACCTTTTTCCGCAGCAGCATTCTCCGGAGGAGGAGTTCTCACTTCTCACGAAGGTAATGTGGAATTTTTAGTTTTACGTTTTTAATGCCTCCCCAGGGAAGGTGTGTGGGGAGGAAGGCTTCCTTGCTCAACAGAGAGAATGAAACTTTCCTGCATCAGTGCCAAGAATAGACACCCTAAATTCAGCGATCCTAATCTCCAGCCATCCAGCAGCCATTCAGCAGCAGGGTGGGCCCAGCTGATTCAGATTTTCTATTAGCTAGTGACTTTGTGTACTAAAAAAGTCACTGTACCACCCAATTGTTCCCACTGCTCTCTGCTCCACGAAAGCACAGACATTAGAGGAGCCACCACAACAAGTGCCCTCAGTACCTCCCCAGCACGCCTTGGTAGCCGGCACAGCCCTCTCCCCACCAGCCCTCCCCAATCCCTGCACACCCCTGAATTTCCAGCACCAGTTTTGCTCCTCTGCCCTGTAGTGCAAGAGGGGGAAACACCTCCAAGCTGAGCAGTGGAACAGGAGCCAGAACCTGAGAACAAACCCAACCCACAGACAGACAGACGGCTTGGTGGCAGCTACCCAAACACAGCATCTGTCAGTATTCAGACAGACTGACAGGGGCCCATAGGCAGGGAATACCATGCAACACCTAAGGAAAGGATAAGGTAACCTCTATAACTCTTTACTTCAAAGGACAAGGGAAGGTAATGGGCTCGTTCACTATACTCAGTAAATTACTGTGTTGGCAAAATATTCAACCTACATTCACTAGTTATTTTATCAATGAAATTCACATATGAATAATCTGACTAATGTTATTCTACTATTTACACACTAAAATCAATAGCAGAAGTAAACCAATAAAGGATTTGAAGATTATGCAAAAAAAGAAAGCCACTGAAAGCACATCACCAAGGCTACGTGTGCCAAGCCAGTAAATTCATAACCTCACAGCACTCCACAAGTTTTGCACTCCCTTATACAGTAAGGCCTTATACAAGTGCCTTACTTAGGAGCAAAAATAAAGAAAGAAGCCGGGACTGGTTCATTTCAGTTAAACAAGAACCAAACAGCATGTGCCTCCATGGGTCACACCAACTTTTGTTCCCATTCATATTCCCAACAGCCACAGAGAAACAACAGCACTTGGTAAGCCAGGTCTCTCCGGATATTGGCAGCATGGTCTGGGCACAAGCAAGTACATTTTTAGCAGAGATGAAGAGAAATGTTTCACGAGTTCAGATTAGAGCAATCAGAATAATAAGTAGAATTGAGATCCAGACATTTACATTTGGTCTTTCTTCTCTGCAGCTCAGAGGAAAGACTACCTGCAACTTGGTGTTCTAGTTCAGTATCACCAGCCAAAGAGAAAGGCAGCCAGCCATTTCGAACAGGGGAAACACAATACATCTAACACAAAGAGTGACTACTGATTCTGGCATCTCTTACAACCCATCTTAACAAAGAAAAGATTCTAGAAAGTTACAGATTGCCTCTTCTGCTTCCTTTCTAGTGACAAGATGAGCATCCAAAAAGAAATGGTTTTGGAATTTTGACAATGAAGTCTTCTTGCTCATTTGAAAAGAATGGCCTCTGAAATCAGCAGTGGAAACACAAAGGAGTAACTTTGCTTGAAAAAGCAAAAACACAGATTCCTCTGAGAGAAAGGGAGGGAAACATACATAGCCTATTTAATTAATATAGTGAAGCATTTAGAAAAAGGAACCTCACTAATACAAAATCATGCCCTGAGAAGGAACATAATTTATTTTTACTGTTATATTAGTAAAACAAACATAAAAGTATTCAAAGACGTCTGCACTATAAATTGCAAACGTGATAAGCTACACTGACAATTGTTTAGTCTCCTTTAGCAAAGGAGGGACCTTATTCAATACTCAAAACTGTTTCAATGGAATTTTGAAAAGAAGCAGTGAGAAGATTGCCAAGTGTTTTGTTCAAGTAATCGGATTTGGATTAGGAAAATAAAAATTAATAGTTTCTTACCCAAAGTTAATAAAACACCTGGAATACTAACTAATCAAGTAAACATTTGCTAAAATTTTCATCAGTTACTTTCATCTAAGGGTAAGCAATTAAGTTATTTATAGGCAGATGTATTTACATGTAGCACATATATTTTCAATGTACTGCTAACTGTGTTTAAAAAAATCAGTGGAAAAGTGGAGGCTTTGTCAAGTGGGACAAGAACAACAAGCTGACCCACTTAGGAAGGCATACAAACAAGGCAAGTTTGCAGGAAGAACACGAAGGCTAGACCATCAGAAGGATCAATGAAAAAACAGTATCAAATTACTTGGTGCTGTACTGACCTAAATAAACTTGTCAGCCTTGAGGAACCATCTCCAACTCTTTGCAAACAGGAAATACATAATACACCAGGTATATAAATGTAAGAAAATGGTATAACCTCGACTATAACAATGAAAATTCTACAACATATCAACATATGTTTTCAGACAGAACAAAGATTCCCCTCTCCAATGAACAGCACTGAAAGGACAGCTTACCCTCTCCACTTGTCCTTCTTTGTGCTTTTGTTTGTATACTTTCAGCTTTGGAAGAAAAGTCTCTGCGTAGTTCTTGTCTTCCGTGCCTTGGAGCAGCACCCCATGGAATGCCAGCCTGCAGGTGTTTGCATGAATATCCGTATCCAGCTTGGAGCCGATCACAAGGCACAGCTTAGGGCAAGTGACGGGTTTTTCGAACTCTAGCAGAGCCCACTGTTGTTTTGGCAGCTGGACTTCTGATTGGCCATTTTCTTTATTCTCCTCTGAAGGCTTTGAGTCCTTGGACAAATACTCCTCTTGATAAAGATAGTCTTTATCAAAATCAAAAGCATTTTCTTGAATTTCTTCATTGAAGTCAGCAGGAGCCGGACTGAAAAACATCACTCTTCCCATGACTGTTTCATGACCGACTGTGATATGAAACTTAGCCTTTGTCTGAAGCGCTCCTCGAAAATACTGGATTTTTGTCAGGGAAATTATTGCAGCATGGATGGTGTGAAGTGATTCTGGGGTACAGATCAGGCCTCGTTCCAGTAGTTTGGGATCAAACTGGGTCACACAGATGCCTACTCTGTCACCCTGCATGGCATACGTCACAGGAGTATGGAACATCTGCATAGACTTGACTTTCTTTGTCACCTGTGGATGAAAGAAAGAAAATGAAATAGAATTGCACACAAGCACATCACAGGCATAAAGCCACATGTCACACCGTTCCCACTTCTAAGGAGGTTGCCCTTCTGGAAGAATCCGAACTTCAGAACTTAGGAAGTGAACAGGCTGAGAATATGCCTCTATCAATTATTTGAAAATACCAAGACTTTGAGCCTCTTAACGTATTTTGAGTGTTTCTGCCCATCAAACTCTAGAATTATCATGGCTGCAATTAGGTTGACATGTGCTCCATCTCTGCTGCCACACGTACACACTATCTACTCTCACCTCAGAATAGCTTACTTAATGTATTCTCCCCTTAATCATCTACACCAGCAAAAACACAGCAATAGTGTATCTAGCTACATATCTGCCTCACTGCCTTCTCATTCCTTCCACAAAATCCTTTTCAGTCACTTTTTTTTGACTTGGTTAAAAACCATCAAGTGTTCAGAAAAAAGTTATTTTCCTCGGTGTTTGTACAACACTGAGCACCATTACATGTCGTAAAGTATCACATCAAAATAATTAGTAATACAAAAATCTAAGACTGCGCAGCCCATTCAATTCTAGACAAAGAAAAAAGAAAGAGAGTTTTCCTGCAAATCTCTGTGTTTATAAATCAGGTTTGCATCACCTGCCACTAAATTCTGGGATTCCATCTGTAAAGACTCTTTATATGAATTGAAATTATTAAAATATCTGTCTATACTAAAATCTAATAAGCTTGCTATTCTATTCCTTATTTAAAGGAGTTCTTCAGCATAAAAATGAAATCAGCTTTTAAAGATCAGTCTTGGCTCTAATCAATCAGACTGAAGCAATTTAGTTTAACAAGGCTTCATTTTGGCTTCTCTTTCACTTCTGTAAACCATTTTTCAAGAATTTCTCTGGTCTGTGTGAAACCAAATGTTTTTCTTCTGATAATTTGCCTATGTTGCCACCTGCTGCATTCCTACTAATGGATGTTGGATAGGTAACCACTCTGCCTGAAGTTCCTACATTAGATAGCAAGCTTTGAATACTGAAATGGTATTTTTGGCAATAAAAAAAATACTTTTCTCCTAAATAAACACCAAGTACTTGGATAACAGCCTTCAGCACAGAAAAGTTACACACATCATTTGTGAAAGGCTGAAACCTCAAAATTCAGATCCAAGAACTGAACTCTCTATGGGAATGGTCTGTTCCAGAGATCATTTCTGTAGTGTTTTCTGTCAATATATAATAGATTTTATGGTGAATGAGCACAGAACAGAATTGGTAGCAGATCTCCACTCTCAGTATCATTTTCTTTTCTGCTCTCTTCCCTTTTGACAGCTGTGGAATTGGTACTAACAAAAGCTTTACGCCAAATGCTACTGTGCAATTCTCAGCATTCAAGCCATTATTATGTCTTACTCAGCTGTAACTATTCTCAAATCAGCCCTCAACCACGGCGTGCCCCTTAGCAATCCATCTTTTAATCCTTGCACATTGCTTTATTTTCTGTTCCTAAAGTTAGAGTCCAAAATAGATGAGCAGCAACGAAGAGAATTCCAAATTAACGATTTAAAGATAAAACTCAGCAGATCTGGGCTTCATTCTCAGTATGCCACACAACCTTGAGGACCTCATTTAGGTTAGACTACTCAGAACAGTCTAGAAAAGTTAACCTTATTAACCATGAAATTATTTACCATCTAGACAATACTGAATGTTTCCACTTCTTCACATCTTTGTCTTGGATGCAGCATCTCAGTAGAAATGAGAATTTCCTTTTTCTACAAAGTCTGCCAACCCAATATGAAGGGCACAAATATGTGGCTTCCCAACATCACCAAAATAAGCAACAGTAAGAGAAGACTGTAGAACAGAAGGAAGAAAAAGAGTAATTGGGAAACTAATTGCAGGAACTTAGATCAAAGTAGAGAAGCCGAAAAGTTTATTGGCTGAACTAAAATCTTTACTAGCTGGAATATAAAAGCTCTCCAAAGAAGCCAGGAAAAAGTGGTCACACTGTGGTCACAGCAGTTCTGCATCACCAACTTTGTGTTTTCTAAGTACATAATGAACAATATCGAGCATAACTCCACAGTGATAGACCTTACTGGATACAAACAATGTAGGTAAACATGGAATCGATTACATCTCATCACTTAAATCAAAAGCCACATGTAGAAATCTTATATTTGGTGAATTTAGTTTACCTTTCATTTTTGTTGTTATTTTAAATTTGTATAATCACTTTAACGTTCTTAAAACGTCACATAAAGGACTATAAAAAGGATGAGGGAGAAGAAGCTCATGTGTTCAAATGCAGTTTAAACAAAAAAAAAAAAGCAAAACAGAAAGACTGCCCAAAGTCCAGCCCTTGAGATAAACAAACACATTCAATGTAAAAGAATCTGTTACTTGAAGACCAAAGCAAAAGCCCACTAAGATTTTCAAAGCAGTTCAGTAGACTAATAGAAAACAAGATACAGAAAAAGTCTGCTAATGACTTTTCTGCAATATATCAGAGCTTCTTTTCCTTTATTTATCCAACTTGCATTATCAGCCATATGCCATTGCTCATAGCTTCTTCAGATAAGAACCTAGTCATCCTGCTGCCTCCCAGTGCTGCAAGTGCATCTTTCTGATACAAAAGATACAGCAATCCATACTTCCCTGAAATACTGATGAAAAAGTGCAAAGTTGCAATAATTAGCATTCATATTCTAGCAGAGAAAAGACAGGATTAAAAAGCGGTGTTCATAAAAGGAGTATGTGATATGTGTCCATATCACAACAAGGGACCCCCACCAAAGGATGACCATCCACAAGCAGAGTTCTACAGATGGGTGTGCAGTGTTTTAGGTAAGGCAAACCACTCCTGCTTGAGAAGCACCAAAAGGATCCCTGGGCTGTGAGTACAGGAGAGCAACAACAAGCATTCAAAAAAAAAATAAAAATCACGATTCAAGGCCCTTGCACTACTCCATGCACATCCTCCACCCAAATCACTGTCTTAAAAAATGATGATATATTTTCTTAATGTTCTGAGTCTTTGGGGTTCATGTCACAAACTAATGAGCATTCAGAGTTCCACGGATCTTCAGCCAGGACTCCAGAATAGCATAAGACAGGTATCGAGAGTTGTCAGTAGCACATCACTGAACAACAGTAACAGACACTGCCCCATGATCAGGCTGTGGAAAGCCATCTCTTCCCAGTCAACATCCCCACGGCAGCTTGGACCAACTGCAAACAGCAGCAGCCTTGATAGGAAATAATTCCAAGACATGCAGATGTCACCGAGATGCTGTGACTCAGTAACATCTTTCTGAAAGGTCTGGAATATTTCTAGAACCTACTTTTTGTCCGTAGCCTCACTTTGGCTCCAAGAAAGAAACATTTTTTTCTTCCACATGCTATATATTTCACATGCAATGGCTCTTTTACCTGAATTCTTAACTGAAGTTTTAAGTGCACCACTTAATGATCGCTGTGGTACTTATGTAATGCCACACACATGCTATCAGATTTTATTTAATATACTCCTCCTCCTGTTAAAATAACTCCACTGCTTGAGTAGCCTGCACTGCAGTACAGGAATAAAGCAGTATAAAAGGGGATGGGAAAATCTCCTTAGCTTAATTCCTTTCACAGCATCTAAAATATGTCCATGCGCTCAGTAAATAAAGATGCGGGTCAATGATCATACTCTCACGCTGCTCTGCTTTAATGTTATATTTTTAAATTAAATTATGTGCATGTTATATTAATTCAGACAATCACAAATCAAAAATTAGCAAGTGTCAAGATTAAGATTTGGCACACGATGTTAAGTGACCTTTTGTGCGTAGGCATTCTCCTGTAGTTTTTGAGCATATAATCTCAAACTTTTTCAGAGCCTGATCTATCCAATGCACAGGCTGAACGAGGCTCACTGAGTAAGAAACTCCCCCATTTCTTTTCTTCTGCCTGGACTGCCCTGAATTTGTTACTTGCTGTAAACCATCAAATCCATACAGTGCTGTATGCATTCCATCTTCCTGCAATATTTGTTTAATAAAGTTCAGTCAGCATCTCACCCTTGTGATATAACATGGCATTGCCTCTCACCTGTAAAGAGAAAATTTCACCACATCATTTGTCATGGTCTTAATTCTCAAGAAAAACCACAGCGTGCACTTTCTGAAAGCAAAAGGTTGATTTTTCAGAGTATTTAGCATTTCATAGCATTTTCAGCCAAAAGAGCATCCTAACAGCCATACAGGATGCTCTGGACTTCAGGCAGGGAAGCGATCCCCATGCTTCACAGATGAGGCAAAGGAAGCAGCAGTAGATGTCTAAGGTACATCCTCTCACATAAAGAAGACCAAGATCTCTCAAAGGTTGTGACAAAAAAAGGAACATGAAGATGTCAAGTAACCTTAACTGTAAGCAGTACTGCGCGTGCAGGCCGTCACTCGGATAGCAAGGTATGCAATTTGAAGTATACACAGTGCTATTGAATTTAGCCATTAAGTATCTACACAACAAACATCAGACCCATAGTAAAACCATAGCATGGAATAAGCTTAAAATTTACATACCAATTAAAATTTCTGCAACTTATCAAAATATATTTCAATAAATATTTTTCAAAGAAAAAAACCCAAGAAGAACTCAAGAACAGTACAAAATGATAGGTTAAAAAAAGGCTGTCTGGAATTTTCTTCCAACAAAATGAACCAAATTCTTTTTTCTCCTCCAAATAGATTTTGGTTTAGAACAATAATAATACTTTTATCTGAAGACTTCAAAGTCACATGCAAAAGAATATATCACAGTAAACACAGGGTTGAAGGTTTTATAGAAGAACTTCTACTGGGATTTTTTCCCTTCTTCTTTAAAAGAAATTTGTTTACTGCCAGACTTTGAAAAGCATAAAAGGGGGAAACTATAGGCTAAAGAAGTAAAACTTTTACATGTAAGGAACATTGGGAGCTTTGTGAGAAGGCTGGTTTTGGTAGAATGTG